GAAACAAATATGCTTATTTTTAACAAACGCTGTTCAGTTTTCTACAGCAAAACATGCGATTTTTTAATGATACTAAAAGAATAGCTAGTTTTAGGATTACTTGTTCTCATTCGTAAATCTTAGGATGCGCACATTTGCTCTTATGTGGTTTTTTCTTTTATTCAGGTTTTATAAATTCCAAAAGTTTCAGATTTTCCTGCTAGCTGCGCGAAAGAGGAAAAAAAGTGCCACAGCAAATTATCTAATTTCAATCGATCCAACTGACCTGAGCCGTGATGGTAATTCCTTTGTTGGAAAAGTTAGGTTAGATTTTTCGAAACAGAAAACATTGGAAAGCAATTTTCAAATGTTGCAACCAAAAGTGGAAATTTTCTCTTTTTTGGAGAAGTATGATTATGTAAAAGCAACTTGTGTGATGAAACCTAGCCTACGATGCTCTTCAATCTCCGCGGATAAGGTTGTTGATAGCTCCCTTCTCCGCACAATCTTAAGACATATCACGGCAACCGCCAGTAACAACTGTCATCGAATTTTCGAAAACCTGGCTGAATCTGGGCCGCCGATTGAATCCTAAGCGAAATGTTACCCGCTGGTAGCCTATAAATTTGGATGTACTTTGAAAATCCGTCAATCAGACCGCACTATGACATATATGAAAAGGGGTGCAGAGGGCGTTGATCTTTTCCGTTTTTTATTTTTTTTTCTGTTTATTTCTCTTTTTATGTTAATTTCTGTTAATTTTATTTTCACTATTTCTGTTTTTTATCTTCTTCCCTGCTTCTGTAAGATTTGTGGTGCCCTGTATGCCAGATGTTACTGCTTAAATTTGAAGTGACAAATGATAACATAGTTGATAACACAGAAATGATAACACTATTTTGCAGCAGGAGCAAAACATTCTGCGTGTTGTAACTAGCAAAACACCTAAAAGTAAATAAGAGTGAAAAAAGCTAGTCAAAAATGCGAGACTCAATTTTGCCAATGGAAAAGCCAATCCTTCTAAGATTTCTTCGGTTTTAAATTGGTACTGTGCGTTCAGGGAGTTAAAGCATCATAAGTTCGCCTTTAAACAAGTCTGGAGAAAGACAGTCATTGAAAGTCTTGCCATCGAATGATTGCTCATGGCATTTGCTATCTGTTTAGTTACTTCTGAATACCTCCGCTTCTGTAGAAAGAGTTTTTTTGAATTTCGGTTTTGATGTGCACTATCGTTTAAAGCCGATTTCATGGAATAATATTTGGGACTCTACTTAATTCTTTTAGAAAATGTTTTAAAAGCGAGAATCCAAACTTTGGAAGTAGCCAAGGACCGCCTGATGCGGCTGTGCTCGATGTGTTACTTTATCTTGAATTCAAAATAATAGCCCAGAAAATCCAGGTTCTTTCAAAATAAGTGTAAAAAATTCAGGTCAAATGCGCTAGGAACACATTTTACTCTTTATGATAATGGTGAAAATCCGAAGAAAACATCCGTTATTGGCGATGCTGTAAGGCAAGAGCTCGCTGCTGTTATTTATGTATGCTTTTAAACGTTTTTTAATTGATGCACGAGGGTTGCGAGTATGCGTCGAACAGGAGATGGCGCGCAGACCAGACTGCTACTAACACGGGATACCTGCACCACTGACAAACCGAGCGGTCCTGGCATACTTGGTGTAAATGATGCAACTAACTGATTACGAAGACTTCTGAACGATTTTTTTCAATAAACTTGGTGACGGGAACAGGAATTTCGTGGGTGCTTATACTGACACTTTGACCAGCCGAAGTACAGGGCTGGCTCTCCAGTTAGGGATCTGTCAACTTTCACGGTTGTTTTGATCAGTGCTCTGTCACCTGACGGCCAACCTACTGGCGAACCTAAATTTTTTTCTTTTTCTGCAAGAGTTACCAGTTCAGCAGCTCTGCAGAAGCAGTTGGCAAGGCTTCAGCAGTTGCCAGGTGTGTTAGTTGAGCACCGCCACTCCCTTCCGATTTTCGTCAGTTCTAGACCAAATTGGGGGTTTTTTCGACCAGGGGTGAATTTCGTACCACAGTAAAACATAGTATAATAGAAATGTTGAGGTATTGCTAAATTTCGAGAGTAGAATTCATTATCTTTTGTCTGGCAAGAAATTCACGTTTTACTTCTAGATACGCTTCTTCATTCTGACTTATGCAGCTTTCGAAAATGAATAAGTGTTGAGCACATTTCTAGTAGCAGGATTTTAGGACACAAATGTACTTGGTTTCAAAGGGCCACGAAAAATGACAGTACTTATACCAGGAATCTGTGATACTGAAAACTATAGAAGAAAGGAAATACGCCCTGTCCTGGTGAGTAATTCATAATCAAGAGAAAAATAATTCTGAATTTGTAAAAAAGCATAAAATGCGTATGAGTACTGGAGGTACAGTTATACACCAAAACAGTCAACCCTGCTACAATGTGTACTATAAGTGGTAACTCTAATTTCCGAATGCCTCCCTACCAGTAGAGAGCAGACGCGGTGGGAATTTTGATTTTCTGACTTCCTGATATTCTTATGAGATGATCTACGGCTGCACCTTAATGTTTTAAGGACTACGTTTGTCCTAAAAACAAAATAACGAGGGATAAATCCGCTAGATACCGGCATTCAAAAATGTGCCTAAAAGCGATTAATGCTTAGAAATCGTCTTGAAAAAACCTTGGTAGCATCACTAGCACAGGATAATCAGATTGATCGTTTGAGCAGTCTTGGTGTTTTTAGTAATTGACCTGAATCACAACTCTAGCTGAGGGTCAAAATTTTTTCCTGTAAATTTGCACAAAAACGGGAAGAATATATTTTCCAGGAAAGGGATTCGATACTGGAAAGGTGGAAAACAAGGAGAGCTGACGATCTGATCGCTATGCATAACAAAAGTCCGGTGTGGAATGAAGGTCTAGTGATTGTAATAAGATCTTTCAATTCTGCGGCGAATTTATTCGTTATATTTATAAAATGGGCTGTCCGACGTGTGAGAGTATAATAATAAGTAGATATATGTGAATAAAAGTAAGATAAAATAAATATGCATATGGGAGTAAAAATGCATGAACAAATAGTAAGTATTCAAAACTATTTGTGCAAAAAATATATGTATGTGGACAAATATATTAGTAATAATACTATGCGAAACTTAATAATGATTTTAATATCAGAAGCATCCGGACAATCAGTATGGGTGTTCATTTTAGTGATGATAAGGAGATAATCCCAAAATTCAGCTGCAACCATTCCAAGCACTTTGATCCAGGACTGTAATTTTTTTGTCTAATTTTTTAAGAGATGCAGTCAAATAAACAAACAAATGAGTTCTGTTTGCAGATACGCAGTCTTATGTACTTAATTTCCATGGGCGTGTAACTCAAGCCTCAGTTAAAAACTTTCAAATTATACATGAAGCCGATCGTAAGTTTTCTGAAAATTATTTGAAAATGCATTTAATGCAGTTTCATGTCTTCTTGGTTCATTGATCAATGATTTCTTGGTGTTTGTTTTGGAGACCAGCAACTACC